CCCCTCCCCCCCTTCCCCTCGTTTCTTCTTCGTCCCTGTAACTGCCCAGCAGAGCGGCCGCGATCCTGGGTCCTCCAGCACTGCTCCCTGCGTGCAACAGGGAAAAGTGCTTGGACAAAGGGAAATTCTTAGATCTTGATTTGATTAGAAGAATTCGAGGCGGAGGTGGGGTTTGCTTCAGCCCCGAGTGGCCCCGAGCCCCGCCGTCCCGTCAGACCCTGGGGACAAAACTCGTTCCCCTCTTTCCTTGCGCTGCCTCAGCGTTGTCTGCACTTCTCCGCTGTTTCGAGCATCTTTTCTTTTTTAATCTTCGAAGTTCAGACATGTCCCAAAGGCCTTTAACTTCTATTTATTTATTTATTTATTTCCCCCGGAGAGGGCGTTAGGTAAAGGCCAAGTTTGCTGCGGTTTGTTTCGATCTGTACCTCTGCGCGTCCCGACTGCCCTGGCCCCTCAGCGCCAGGCTGCGCCGTGCCCCGGGGGGCACCGGGGGGGCACCGGGGGAGAGCGCGGCAGCGGCTGGGGGAGAGGCTCCGCCTGGACCGGTGATCTGCCAGCCCCGGGGATTCGGTGCGGGGCAGGCGGCCGCGCCGGGAGGATGCGGCTGCGGGTGTTTTGCGCCTAAAGACGGAGTAACAACAGCGAGGACGCTGCGTGGTTTGCGCTGAAAATGGCAGGGGGAAAAGGCGCAGCTCCAACTGGCAAGCGCACCTCGGGAACAAAATTGCCAGCTATTATTGGTTTAACTAATTGCTGAATAATTTGGAAATAGTGCAAAAATCAGGAGTAGTCCCAGTGGTGAAGGTTGATGAAAGGTGTATGTGGTGTTCTCGCGAGTAACAGCTGAGCTTTAAAACATAATGCATCTTGCCCGTTTTAAAACGTCTCCTTTTCGACGGGATTAGATTTTAATTGTCCTTCCGCTGTCTCCCTGTGCAGGGCAGATGTTCAGATTCAAAGGACCTGTAAACCGAACCAGCGGCATCTGTCCTGGATGGGAGCACAGCCTGAGAAAGTCTGACTGCTCCCTGACTTCCTAAATAAACCGTCTTTAACTGTAATTTTCAAAATTCGTTTTCAAAATAATTGCCCTCTGATTTTTTTGGTCTTCTGTTTTTTGTTCAGAGCCTGCAACTGAAGCATAAGAGATCTTCCTCGAGGAATCTTTGGCTTCTTTGCTTAAACTATTTATCTACTTAACTATTTACTAAACCAATAATCGACTAATTTATAAGATAATAATTGCCATTGATCTTGGAAATCAGACCAGGTTGCCCGTTGATGTAAAATTTCACAAACTAGTAAATTATTGCAAAGCCTTCGATTTTGTGCCTTTGAAAGGGAAACTGTTTAAATGTGTGTTAGTTTCTCTTTTTATTTTTAATGGAACTTGTCATTTCCTTCTCAGAAATGCACGAGAAATGCACAATATTGTCCTCTGAGGGGATCTGTTGCTGGTAATTTGTGTAGAATACTGTGTGTAAATAAATCTACACCCAGAGGTGGTGGGAGAAGGGGGACCCGTAAACTTAGGCAGAGTTGAGACTGGAATTATTTTGTAAATTGCAGCAAATATCCATCTGCAACACGAATTAGACTGACTTTTTTTTTTTTTTTTTCCCCCCCCTATTTAAACGAGACTCCATTTGCACGGGGATGATGGGTTTTAGATGTGGATAGAGCCTGACAAGTGGAAAATAGCTTAGAAGGATGCTGAAACTTCAAAAAGATTTCTTTTTCTTTCTTTCTTCTTTTTTTTTATTATTTTTTAAGTGTGTTCCTGTGATCATAATTTCTTCTTTCACTTGTTGGAATGGAGTTTGATGGGGGTTTTTTAGGTCAGTAAATCAATGGCTGAAAGCTTGTTGAACACAAGAGCACCTGTAAAGAATTCTGAATACTCCCTTTGTGAATTAGACCCCAAACCTCCCACAGCCTGCTATATTTTATTCATTTGTATCTAGTCTTGTCTTTAATACGAAGACACTAAAATATCCTCGAAAATGACAGATGTATTGCGCAAACTTGGGCCACGACGAGCTGCTAAAATACTCTGTGCTAAAATAATCTGTGCAAACAGCGAAGATACTCAGAAATATTCCCTTCCCTTACTAGCAGGAGGATACCCAGTGTTTCAGGCAGAAGGGGACTATCCAGGCTAGACCCACCTCCCCGGCGCTGGGGACCGGGCCTGGGGGCGGCTTTTCCCCGG